GCATTTTACAAGAAAAGGAATCTTAAAAAAAAAAGAATATAGCTTTATTAGCTGGGCAGAAAACCGGAAGCACAGCACATGTCCATCAGTATGAGGAGTGATTGGACAGACCCTGCTACACCGTGGAATATTCAAGGCCTTCACAAAAATGAGCTAAGTACCAATTAACTTGGAGAGATTTGCCAGATACTGTTGAGTGAGATAGGCTAGATGGAGAAAAATAATCTAATGCTTTGGGGTGAGGAGGTATAAACTCCCATGTATATACCTTTATGTGTTTATTTGATTACATGTTTGTCAAGAAAAATGTGCAAGTATTTATACTAAATTTTTAACATGGGGGGACTGTTGATGAAGATGGAAAGAGGGTGCCAAGCAAAAGAAGAAAAGGAAAACATACTACCGTATTTCCCGATGTATAAATTTGGGGTTTAAAAACTGGGTGCGTCTTATACAGTGGTTGTAGATTTTTTTACTTGCATTTCCCGCTTTTTTTGCGCTCATTGTTGTAGACTTTTTTACTTGCATTTCCCAATTTTTTGTGCTTGTTGTCTTTGTGCTCATTGTTTCGCACTTGTTACCGGTATATTACGGTAAGTTACGTTTTGCCACGTTTTGCCCAGCAGTGGCTCAGAAAAGATTTTCGTACAGTGCTGAATTCAAGTTAAAAGTGATCCAGTTTGCAAAAGTGAATATAAATTGTGCTGCTGAACGTAAGTTTGGTCCTCCTCCAACTGAGAAAACAAACCGAGACTGGCTACAGGAAGAAGAAACCCTACTGAAAATGCCACGGCAGTAGAAGGCCATGAGAGGCAAGTCGGCAAAATGGCCAGATTTAGAGAGGGAATTGAAGATATGGATTGAAGAGCAAAGGGCAGTTGGGTGATTCGTCATCAGACACAGATGAGGACAAGCTAGCTAATGGTTGGGAGTTTTGACAGTGATGAGGAGTTGTATGAATTTTATGATGAATAAAACTTGAGTTCAATAACTTTATGTAACACATTTTTTTTTTCAAATTTTGGGTTCCAAAATTAAGGTGCGTCTTATACATGGGAGCATTTTATACATGGGGAAATACAGAATGTTGAAAAGAAACATTTCCCATAAGTCTGATATGTGTGATATGGTCATATTTATGCATTTACGTATAACTTTGTTTCTGTGTGTGAAGAATATTAATACTATACACTTAAAATGGACCAATATTTGGGAATATTTATGTTTTTTGTATAAGACTTTCAAAATGGATAGTGAACATCTACAGTGTTATATTTAGCTATTATATGTTTTCTTTTGTCAAAATATATTAATTTTATTTTTTTAAAAGATTTTTATTGGGGAATTGGGGAGGGGAACAGACAAGTTGCTGTCCTTTTGTTCTTCAGTCTAGTTGTGGAGGACGTCGTTTCACTGGCCCATGTTGGTATTATCATTGCGCTTTTCCCGGGTGAGGCAGATCAGCCGCTGGCCACTGGATGGCCGCTCACGGTGGCTCTCGGCAGCTCACTCTGGCTGCTGGCTGCTGGCTGCTCACACCAGCTGCCAGCCACTCATGGTAGCTTTACAACAGCCCACTGCAGCTCCACTGCAGCCTGCACAGTTGCCGGCGACTCACGGCAACCCAGCTCCAGGTTGAACTGTTGTTCACCATCTTGGCTGTAGAGGGCGCAGCGTCACTGGCCCTAATGTGCTATCTGAACTGGGGCCCTTCTGCTCAGAGCTGGTGTCCCAAGCCAGCTCTTAACCAATGCGCCACTTGGCCGGCCCAAAATATATTAATTTTAAAGTCAATAGCTGACATTCAGATGCCTTGAATACAGAACAGTGTAGCAAAAAAAATGGGAGCAGGGTTTGGAAATATGGGATAGATATTGTTTAGACTTTTTTTTAAAATATTTTTTTGAGAATTGGGGAAGGGGAACAGTGTTGGGGAATTGGGAAAGGAGAACAGCCAAGTTGTTGTTCTTCAATCTTAGTTGTGGAGGGTGCACCTAGCTCATTTCCAAGTCCAGTTGCCATCCAGCCTCCCGTCGGCAGCTTGCGGCCGCTCAGCTGAAGGTGCCATGTTCAATCTTAGTTGCAGGGGGCGCAGCCCACCATCCCATGTGGGAATCGCATGCTCTAACCATTGAGCCATCTGGTCGCACATCAGCAGCTCAGGGCAGCTCAGCTCAGGGTGCCGTGTTCAATCTTAGTCATGGGGAGGGAGTAGCCCACCATCTCATGCAGGAGTTCAGCTGGCAACCTTGTTAGGAGCACGTGCTCTCACCAGCTGAACCATCCTGCCACCTGTTGGCAGCTTGGGCGCAGCTCACTGGCCCATGTGGGAATCGAACTGGAGATCCTGTTGCTCTGAGCTCCCTCTCTTAACCAACTGAGCCACTCGGCTAGCCTAGACATTTATTCTTTGTTTAACTCTACTAAGGTTGAGCAAATGTGTAGCCCTTAATAAAACTATGAAGTTCACTTAAAAAGTTGTTTATATATCCAGTTAAATAACTATTTCAGTTTCTATAATCAAAGTTCTAATTTTGACAAATATTCTACATTGGGGTTTCTACAAAACTGAATGGAATATCTAATTTTTAAATACTACGTTTTCTTCTAGTGTCTTTTTCTGAAGAAGAGAAATACCAGCTGCGAAAATTTGTCAATAAATCTTACCTGCTGGACAAGAGAGCCCATTGTCAAGTGTACTATAGTTTGATTGATATCCTTCTGGCATATTGTTATGAAACTCGTGTCACTGAAGGAGAGAGGAATGTAAGTACATGTGTGTCTGTGCTGTTGGCACAGACAGCTGTGCTAAGCAAACTGTATTAAGACATCACTCCTCTTGTTGAGTGAGACCTGTTGTGCTGAGTTACTTGGGGAGCACTCTGCATGGAGTTACACATGTATGTGGGTGGTGGGTACCAATGTGAAAACACACTGCTTACTTGGTCTCTTTATCTTATTTCTTGGCATCAGTTTTTACAAATAACAAAGTGGGGAAGTAAAACTGAAGGTAGAGAAAAAGGATCTTTAGGAGATAAATTGCCAAATGAGAGGACTGTTGCCATATGACACTTGACATCCACAAGAGGGAAACTTTACCATACATATATTCGTTCTCTGAGCTGTCATATAGCAGGTGCAAGGTATAGCATTTTACAAGAAAAGGAATCTTAAAAAAAAAAAAATCCCATTGTAAAAGTAAATTTTTTTGTAAAGTACATTAGTATTCTTTTTTTTTTTATTAAAGTTTATTGGGGTGACAGTTGTTAGTAAAGTTACATAGGTTTCAAATGTACAGTTCTGTAACACATCATCTATATATCAAGTTGTGTGTTCACTGCCCATTGGTATTCTTAAGTGATTTTTAAAACAATAACATAGACTTTATTGTATTTTTTCTTAAACTACATTTGATTTTGTAAATGAAGGACTAAACATTTTTCTCACCTACATAAAAAAGGGCTGGAAAACTAAAAAACAAAAAAAAGCCTTTCTGGTTAATGTGTCTCTTTTTATAATTGTCCATGCTTCAAGGGTTGTTCTTGAGCTGAGCATGTGCTTTTCTTTTTTAAAATTACACAAATACTTCATATCATTGTAAAGGGAAATTATTAAACCCGCCTTTCTCAATATCATAGCAGTAGCGTAGTTTTAGGATTACATTTTTGTATGTGCCAGATTTTCTGTTGTCATGATTCCGAAAATTTCAAAGGTGACTCTTGAGATTTGCATTTGACTCCAAAATGAATATTAATGAGGCTTAATATAACTGAAAATGCTTTTTGTTTCCCCTCATTTTTTAACGATTGGAGAAAATGTTTTCTTTGGCAAAAAAGTGCTTCATATTATTGCTTGAGAAGATAAGCAAGAGTGTTTAGTTATACTCAAAACAGTTCACCATTTTTATTCTTGTATCTGCATATCTGAAATCATGAAATCTTGCAACTTCAAAACCTTCTTTAGAATGTACCTATTCTCACACTATTCTCTGAAAGGCTAAATTCTTGAGCAGCTTTTTAAGTGCCACAGACAGCACTTCAACATTATCTTTGAGTCCTTTGGTAGATGATTTATTGAATGTTTGGGAGACAAGTAACGTTGTTGAGAAAGACAGAAATTGAGCAAGCATCGCTTTGCTTTAATTTTTACTGTCAAAGCCCCTGCTTATTTGCTCTTGTGTTCTGGGACTTTATCAGAGGAAAGGCTTTGCTTTATAAAATCCCAAGGAAAGTAGACAGAAACTTGTCTTTGGTAGTGTCTGCATCAGTAAAGCAATTATTTTTTCTCAATCACAGATACTTCTTAGTCCTTCTATATGTCAACACTACTCACTAGTTGAATAAATGGATATATTTGCTTTATTTTTAAATGTCTTTACCTCTAATGTAACAGTATTCTTTTCCCCTAAAATAAATAAAGGTTGAATCTGCATGGAATATCAGAAAACTGAGTCCAACACTGTGCTGGTTTGAGGTATGATGTTTAGTTGCAATTATTTAGATTTTATTTGTTCAGAAAGTTATTTTTCTGTTGTCATCAGTTCATTTTGGGTAATTCAAACAATTCCTTGACTTTTTAAAAGGGGGAAGTTTTGTTGTACAAGTTTTTTTTTTTACCATCCTTTAAATAAAATTCTGATTCCATTTGTTACTCTTATACTAATGAAGCCAGGTAAGGTGTTTTGGAAGTCAGGAGAGTGAAAATATACTTTGGAAAAAGAATGGGCATGTAATCTGTTGGAGGAGAATGTAGAGTGGCATTTGAGGCATGTTTGTAAGTTGGCGTATATTGGGGCTCAGCTCAAAGATGGGAAACAAACGTGGGTGATACTACTACTGACTGCCACTTATTGACCATCAGGGACTGCGTTAAGTGTTTTATATGTATTACCTCACCAATTCCTTTCAATAAGTCTGTGAGAAGTATTGTTGATATTTTATAGGTGAGGAAACTCAGATCATACAGCTTAAATAACTTCTCTTGGGTTCTACAATTAGTATGGTTAGGTGTGATAACTTTTAATATAGTAGTACTTGTTTTTATATGTATTTTATAGAAAATAGTTGTGTAGGTCTTACCAAAAATATCAAAGGGTGGCATCTTTAAATTTACTAGTTTTGAACAAATTGTTGTCTATCACAAGAGTAATTAACAGTAGAAACTTGAAAAAAGTGTCAGTTTAAACAATTGATAATTGTATCATCAATTAAGATGACTACTTTTTTTCCCCAGTTTAAATCTTAGATACACTACATTTTAAGGTGTAAAATCAAGGTTATTTCATCACATCGCTTTGTTCAAGAAATAGATAAGATGTCAGCCAGAACTGAAACACTTTATCAGATAATCTTGCGACTCCAAGAATGGTCCATGGACCAACAGCTTGACCAGCTTCCTCAGCTGGGAGCTCGTTAGCAGGACAGATGATCAGTTCAGACCCACTGAATCAGAATTTGTAGCAAGATCTCCAGGGATTCATATACATACTAAAGATGGAGAAGTACTGTTCTCTAGACTTCATTTGGGTCTCACATATTGCCATGATCAGTATATAACAGAGAAACTGGTTTCTGTAGTAATTGCATTGATTGCTTACATTGAAAACAAAGTAGTTGTCAGTTTCATAGTTCAGTTATTAAAATCAACATGAATAAATTCACTTGTTTATGATTTAATTTGAAATTTTTATTGTTTTTGAGAAAACTTAGACTTGCCAGACATGCTAATAACTGTCAAACTTTTATAAGTATTTCGTTTTTTTGCTAGAACTTTTTTAAAAGTTCATAATTCTTTTTAGACATAAACTATTCTTTGTCAGATACTCGATATTCTTAATCAGCTGTCTTATTTATTAAGGATTAATATATATGGAAAGTATGCTAAAATAAAGTTCCTTTAGTTTTAGTTTTATATTTTATGTTTTATATAAGGGTTACTTTTTTTAAAGAAAACTCAATTTAAAAACAATTTTGTAGAAAATTGCCTTTGTCTAGTGTTTTCAGTAAGTTTTGAATTGCTAATAGTATCAGTTTAATACTGTTTGAGATAAAACACTTTTTTCCTCTAGGGATTTTTAGTTTTCTCTTTGATAAGTAAAAACAAATTACTAAAGTAAATACCATGTATTATTCATGCCCAAAGCAAAGCAAAACAAAACAAAACAAAAAAGGAAGGGGAGGAGAGGGTACGTATGAACACACTTCACTGAAGAGTCCTACATCTTTCATCTACACTGTCTTGAAGGGTCCTAAAAGACAAAAACATGAAGCATATATCATTTAGAAATGTCTTTTATGTGCATCTGTATTTTGTTAGTGCCATGTGTTTTAGATTCATATTTGTAATTCTTAAGGGACTTTTAAAAAGTTTCCTGCCACATATATGATTTTTAAGGAGCATTTATGGTATATTGATAAAATATGAGAAATTACAAAGATTAAGATTAAATATTTTATGGTGAAGTGCATGTCTTCTTTTATGACTTTGTATTTCTCTTCTACTTGACTTAATGATAATCCAAGCTTATAATTTTTAATTGAGAATATTTCATTATGTGCTTTTGTTTGTAAATATAATATGGAAATGATTACTTATTTAAATAATCACAGACTTGGACTAATGTTCATGAAATCCTGGTATCATTTGGAAGAAGAGTTTTGTGCTATCCACTTTATCGCCATTTCAAGCTGGTGCTGAAAGCCTACAGAGACACCATAGAGATATTGCACCTAGGTAAGATACTATTGTGCTTGCAGCAATGAGAACGAAAAGTTCTGTTTTTAGTCTCTGAGGAAGAAAAATCATGATTTTCTTTTTTTCCTATATATAAATAATGAAAATCATTCAACCCAACCACTTTTCCTTCCAGGTATATAAAGTAATTGTCCCTCTATACAGATACATAATCACACAGATCACATAGAGAGGTGTGGTACTCTTTTTTTCTGAAAGGAGTGGGGAGGTAAATAGAGAAGCTAACTAACACACCATATTCCAAATCATTTTGTATTATAGAAGATTGCATCATTGTGTATGCTAGGACGCCTGTCATTTTCTAGGCAGTATGCTAGGACTGTGGGTATAATAATAAATGAGATAAATTTCCTCCTTCTGTGCAGTTTACAGTTTGGCCTGAAGTACAGATGGTAATTAATAAGCAATTCTAATATAGAGTGAAACTTTCTTTGCCGGAGGGAGCACAGTGATCCACTAGGACAGGAGTCGGCAAACTGTGGCTCGCGAGCCACATGTGGCTCTTTGGGTACTTTCCATCTCAAAAGTTTGCTGACTCCTGAAAGAGCCAATCCTGACCCTCACAACAATTTAAAAATTATTCGAGAGCCATATATATATTTTTACATAATCATCATTATGTGAATAATATCCTTTAAAAATTTATAAATGAAACTATGATAGTTTTCTTGTTTTTTCATTTTCAATTTTACTTCAGAGGCTCACGAGCCGCAGTTTGCTGACCCCTGGCGGCTCTTCCATCTGAAAAGTTTGTCTACCCCTGTACTAGGAAGGGGCATGGAACCTGAACTTGGGAGATTCCAAGAAGTACAGCTACTTTGAGGACTTTTCCTTTTTTTTTTTTTTTTTAAATTAAAGTTTATTGGGGTGATAATGGTTAGTAAAATTATATAGGTTTCAGGTGTACTATTCTGTAATACATCCTCTAGATATCACATTGTGTGTTTATCACCCAGAGTCAGTTCTCCTTCCATCATCATATATTTGATCCCCTTTACCCTCATCTACCACCCTCCTCTCCCCTTACCCTTTGGGGACTTTTGACTATTGCTAAACCCAACCTGAAAAGACAGCTATTTGCCAGTTTTAAGAATGCGGAAAATTCTAAGCTCTGAAATAAAATTCCAAAGTGCCAATGACAGCATCATTGAAGTATATAATTTCCAAGGTAATGATTTTGACAGGGACAACATCCATTTCTATGTACAGTTCTGGCGCATTTATTTAGAAGTCATTTTCTTTTTTAAAAAATTATTTATTTAAATTTTTTTTATTAGTTTCAGGTGTACAAAACAATGCAATAGTTATGCTTTTCACCCCTCACAAAGTGACAACACCCCTCCCCCTATTCACTGTCCCCTCACCCCCAATATCATACATATCTATTACAATTCCATTGACTCCACTCCCCACACTGTACTCCACGTCCCGTGACTATATATATATATATATATATATATATATATATATATATATATATATATATATATATATATATATATATATATATATATATATATATATATATATATAAAATTATAGTTGACATATAAGATTATTCAGTGGCAGCTTCAGATGTACAGTGCAGTGGTCAGGCCTCTACACCGTCCATGAAGTGGTCTCCCTAACAAGACATGAGTCCACCTAGCCCCCTAAAAAATATTTACAACATTATTGATTATATTCCCTAAACTGTCTTTTCTATCCCTGTGGCAGTACTGAAGTTACCAATTTATGTTGTCTTGTCCCTTTCCCTTCTCCCTCATCCCCACCCCCTTCCATCTAGCAACTATCAGTTTTTCCTCTGTGTCTCTGAGACTATTTCTGTTTACATTGCTCATTTATTCAGTTTTTTAGATTCCACATATAACTGACTTATTTCACTTAACATAATGTTCTCTAGGTCCATCCATATCATTGCAAATGGCACGATTTCATTGTTCTTTACAGCTGAGTAATACTCCATTGTGTAAATGTACCACAGCTTCTTAATCCAGTCATCTACTGATGGGCATTTCGATTGTTTCCAAGTCTTGACTATTGTAAATAGTGCTGCAATGAACATAGGGGTGCATATATTTTTTCTAATTAGTGTTTTGGGTTTCTGGATAAATACCTAAGAGTGGAATTGCTGGGTCATGAGGTAGTTCCATTTCCAGTTTTTTGAGATACCTCCATACTGATTTCCATAGTGGATGCACCAATCTGCAATCGCACCAACACTGCAGCAGGGTTCCCTTTTCCCCACAACCTCGCCAGCACTTGTTGTTTGTTGATTTATTGATGATAGCGATTCTGACCAGAGTGAGGTGGTATCCCATTGTGTTTTTTATTTGCATTTCTCTAATGATTAGTGAAGTTGAACATTTTTTCATATGCCTGTTGGCCATCTGTATGTCCTCTTTAGAGAAATGTCTCTTCATATCCTCTGCCCTTTTTTTAATTGGGTTGTTTGTTTTTTTGGTGTTGAGTTGCATGAGTGTTTTATAAATTTTGGATATTAACCCCTTATCCGATATATCGTTGACAAATATCTTCTCCCATGCAGTAGGCTTCCTTTTTGTTTTGTTGATGGTTTCCTTTGCTGTGAAAAAACTTTTAAGTTTGATGTAATTCCATATGTTCATTTTTTCTTTTGCTTCCCTTGCCTGTAGGGATATATCAGTAAAAACATTGCTTAGGGTAATGTCTGCAAATTTACTCCCTACATTTTCTTCTAGGAGTTTAATGGTTTCAGATCTTACATTTAAGTATTTAATACATTTTGAGTTTGTTCTTGTATATGGTGTAAGGAAGTAGTCCAGTTTCATTTTTTTGCATGTGTCAGTCCAATTTTCCTAGCACGATTTATTGAATAGACTGTCTTTACCCCAGTGTAAATTCTTGCTTCCATTGTCATAGATTAATTGACTGTATATGAATGGATTTATTTCTGGGCTCTCTATTCTGTTCCATTGATCTATGTGCCTATTTTTATGCCAGTACCATGCTGTTTTGATTAATGTAGCCTTGTAATATGATTTGATGTTGGGTAGCATGATCCCCCAACTTTGTTCTTATTTCTCAAGATTGTCGTGGCTATTCGGGGTCTTTTATGGTTCCATATAAATTTTAGGATTATATTCTGTAATTCTGTGAAAAATGCCCTTGGTAGTTTGATAGGAATTGCATTGAGTTTAGATATTGCTTTAGGCAATATGGACATTTTAACTATATTAATTCTTCCTATATATGAGCATGGTAGGTGTTTCCATTTATTTGTATCTTCTTTCTCTCTTCAGTGTCTTATAATTTTCGGAGTACAGGTCTTTTATTTCTTTGGTTAAATTTATTTCTAAGTATTTTATAGTTCTGGAAGCAACTGTAAATGGGACTGTTTTCTTAATTTCTCCTTCTGATGGTTTATTATTGGTATATACAAATGCAACTGATTTCTGAATATTGATTTTGTATCCTGCTACCTTACTGAATTCATCTATCAGCTTCAATAGTTTTTTGATGGAGTCTTTGGGGTTCTCTATATATAGTATCATGTCATCTGCATATAATGACAATTTTACTTCCTCCTTACCAATTTGGATGCCTTTTATTTCTTTTTCATGTCTGATTGCTGAGGCTAGAACTTTCAGAACTATGTTGAATAAAAATGGAGAAAGTGGACAGCCTTGTCTTGTTCCTGATCTTAAGGGGAATGGTTTTAGTTTTTCCCCATTGAATATGGTGTTAGCTGTGGGTTTATCATATATGGCCTTTATTATGTTGAGATATGATTCCTCTATTCCCACTTTGCAAAGAGCTTTTATCATAAATGGCTGCTGTATTTTGTCAAATGCTTTTTCTGAATCTATTGATATAACCATATGATTTTTATTTTTAATTTTGTTAATGTGGTGTATCACATTAATTGATTTGCAGATATTGAACCAACCTTGCAAACGGGGAATGAATCCCTCTTGATCATTGTGTATAATCTTCTTAATATATTGCTGCATTCTGTTTGCTAGTATTTTGTTGAGAATTTTTGCATCTATGTTCATCAGGGATATTGGCCTGTAGTTTTTCTTTTTTGTACTGTCTTTGTCTGGTTTTGGAATCAGGGTGATAGTGGCCTCATAGAAAGAGTTTGGGAGCCTTTCCTCCTTCTGGATTTTTTGGAATAGTTTGAGAAGACTAGCTGATAATTGCTTTTTGAATGTTTGGTAAAATTCACTTGTGAAGCCATCACGTCCAGGGCGTTTGTTGGGAGCTTGTTGATTACTGATTCAATGTCCTTGGTAGTATTCAGTCTATTCAGATTTTCCGTTTCTTTTTGCTTTAGCTTAGGAAGGATGTATGCTTCTAGGAAATTATCTACTTCTTCCAGATTGTCAAATTTGTTGGTGTATAGTTGCTCATAGAAATTTCTTAAATTTTTTTGTATTTCTGTGGTATCTGTTGTCACATCACCTCTTTCATTACTGATTTTACTAATTTGAGTCCTCTTTTAAGATTGTTATTGAGGAATTGGGGGATGGAAACGGTGCTGGGGAATTGGGGGAAGGGGAACAGACAAATTGCTGTCCTTTTGTTCTTCAGTCTAGTTGTGGAGAACGTTGCTTCACTGGCCCAAGTTGGCACCATCATTGCGCTCTACCCGGGCGAGGCAGATCAGTCGCCGGCTTTTAGACGGCCGCTCACAGCGGCTGCTGGCCACTCACGCTGGCTGCTGGCTACACACGGTAGCCCATGGCAACCCACTGCAGCAGGGGATGCAGCCTACGCGGTCGCTGGCGACTCATGGCAGCCCAACTCCAGGTTGAGCTGTTGTTCAGCATCTTAGTTGTAGAGGGCAGTGTCACTGGCCCTCATATGTGGGATC